GCCACGAGGGAGCCGGCATCATCAGAGCGCTCGGCAGCAACGTCAAGGACAAGACCCTGCAGATCGGAGACCACGTCCTTTTGTCCTTTAATGTCTGCGGCGAGTGCAAGCAGTGTCTCGCAGACAACCCGTCCTGCTGCCACATCCACTCCCCGATCAACGCGGGCTCGGTCCGCGTGTCGGACGGCTCCACGCCGGCCAGGCTCGACGACGGGACGCCCGTGAGCAGCCAGTGTTTCGGCCAGTCCTCCTTCGCGCGCATGTCCGTCGTCGCCGAGAGGTGCGTCGTAAAGTGCCCTTATCCCGAGTCGCTCTCCTACTACGCGCCCCTGGGCTGCGGGTTCCAGACCGGCGCCGGCACCTTGCTCAACGTCCTAAAGCCAGACAAGACCCAGTCCGTCGTCATCTTTGGCGTGGGAAGCGTTGGAATTGCCGCCTTAATGGCCGCCGCCTACCTCCAGGTTCGGCAACTCATCGCCGTGGACGTGGTCGATGAGAAGCTCGCGTTTGCCAAGGAATTCGGCGCCACAGATGTCGTTAACCCGACGAAACACGCAGACGAGGGCGTGGAAGCCGCCATCAAGCGAATCATAGATGGCGGCGCCGACTATGCCATTGATTGCACCGGCCGCATCCCTGTCATTGAATCGTTGTTCGGATGTCTGGCTCCAAGGGGGACTGCAACAACGGTTGGGGTGCCGCCTCCAGATAGCGTTGTTAGAATTGAGCCCCAGACCTTTTTGATGGAGAATAAGAGTTACATGGAAGTTCTGGAAGGGGGTTCCCACCCCCAAAAGGTTGGTCTCTGGCACCACAAGTCGTTGTGTGGGTTTCACATTCTAACCGGTCCTGTGGATGTAGTTTATCCCGCAGCTGATGGAGCTTCATCAAAAAGGGCATTTCCCTGTCGAGAATTGTGCAAGGTCTACTCTGTTAAATATTTTGAAACGGCAATGAGTGATCTCCGCAAAGGCAAGGTGAGTCGATTGTGAGAATATAGAGGAACCCCCTGGCCGTCGTCGGATCGCTAACTGGACTCGGCTAGGTGGTCAAGCCCGTGATACATTGGGACTAGAGGCGCCTCAGTTGGTTTCTGGGGAAGCGAGAAGAGGAGTCGGAGGACTGTTCAAATTAGCCGGAGCATAAAGACAGCGTGGTTAGCAGCGGAGTAAGGTAGGCGTCGCGGGGTGTCGAAACCGGTGAAATTGGAGTTGTTCAATGAATCAGATGAAATGCTCGATTCGTAGATCGATGAGCAAAGTTCTGTAAAATTGGGTAGTTGATGTGTAATGCTTGATGCATTCCCTCGTGTCTGCCATGTTCAAATACAGCATCATGCATGGTAGTCGACCAATTACAGGCCCAACGGTGAAGAAAGCCTAAATAATGATACGACCAATTCTGCGAAAAATACTAGTTGTAGTAGTTGAGGGTGTGAATATCCCCCCCGCGCCTGTACCTGTAGGGAAAGCACGTATAAAAATTAGGCCAAGATAGTTCCAGTCCGGAGAAGGAAATTATTGTGTATTATTAAGCATCACTTCTATAGTTATAGTATTTCCTACCTAGAAGAAGGATGAGTAACCTGACCCACCGGGAATATTTAAACACCGGGTTTCAGTCCACCGGTTACTGATAATCGTGATTGCAGGCGGCTATTTGTCAATGTTGATCAACTACATAGATTGATTGAATCTTAAAATACCCTTGCTAGTAGAGTAATCTAAAGCATCACACTACTTCAACTATTGTTAAACTCCGATATTGTAACTTTTATCTTGGCGCGAGTTATCGTTTCTTGTCTAGAACCAGGGGCTAAAATCAGAGACTTTGTACAACGAATGACTGCTGCACAGATATTGCCAAAATGACTAGAGCAATTGAAGCCGCTAACACCACGGCATTGGGACAAGTCTAAATTTTTGCGTCATGCGAAATCGTCCATGTTCGGAGACGATGGATTACACCTACACTAGCCAGCACCCCATTGCAGTCTCACCTGGATATATTGGAAACTGAACGCCCCAAACCGGTCTTTTACCGACGCGGCCTCACAGGCAGAGGTGTGGCCAGCGGGGCATACTATACCTGGAGAGTAAAGTCTCCAACCGAAAAAGGGCTGTTGAGCGTCTGGAAGGTCGTCCCTCTTGGGCGGCCAGCAGCTTGCATCGTCATTTTGTCCACTTCCGCTGGTAGCTATTCTGGGCCTTGATACGCTTCGGTAATACGTCGCCGGTCATGAATAAGCCACAGCTGGGTGGTCACGTCCACACTGTTGTGAAAAGTCCGAGTGAAGTGCCCATTTGTGACATTTTCGTGCTAGCACTAGCTCGCCATGTATGTGAATGGAGATTCCTACAGGAGAGTGCGACGGGGGATGGGAGCTTTAATTCCTGTGGTTTACGGATGCAAGGGAGTCTACCGATATGCACAAGGCTCTACGGTCATTGTACAAGCTGGATAACAGCGTCGGAAGAAGCAGACGAGCATGGCCCAGTGGCTCATAACTGCTCCGCCTATATCGGGCTTCTCAATAAATATAACCACAACCAATTTAAAGCTCGCTTATGATGTCAAGCACGGAGCAACAAGCAAGATGGAGGACGGGGTGCTCGTCGTCGCCATCGCACTTGGACTTAACATGCAGACATCCAGTGACCAAGGTTGGTGCATCTCCAGCCATATTTTCCCTCCCTTTACCGTTTAAACACATCTTGTTTTCAGAGACTGGATTTAAACTTTAGTCGCCCTCGGCCGTTCGTCGGATATAGTATCATACTCGCCTGGCGGTAAGCTGCAGTCTTCATAAGGAATCTCCGCTAGACTATAGTGAGATTCTGCTTCGGTGCAGCTAACCACGACGCAAGATTATCTCTTCGCAAGTAAGGAAAAAAAAGCCTGAGAGCAGCCTGATGAGGAATCGATATGGAATCGCAATCGTTGTCTATCATCAGAACGGTGAAGCGTATCCAGGAATTTCTAAATAACCTGCAGTCTGAAGCGATGCTCAGATTTGTGTGATAAGACAGGGATTTTCTTAGTTGGCTCACCCCTTATATGTACATGATGAGGTGCTCCGCAATTCCGGTCGTGCTAGCTGGCACCAGTTGACTCGGAGGTGTCTCTGAACCGGCATCACCATAACGAGGTTGACTTGACGTGTACAGTCCTGGCCCGCTCAAACCCGGGTGTTGGGATAACCAAGAGAGTCTTTGGATCTTTTTAGAAAACCAGTGCGAGTGTCCTCCACCGTCGTACGTGTTATGGAGTAGAGACACGAACTATCAATCTCCCGTGCTGGGAGCCCTAGTCGACGCCTGCTACAGCATGAGAATGAGCTGGTTTTGCCCCATAGCCTGAGCGTCGTCTCGTGCAACCCGTGCTTCAAGCGACAAGAGCACGTCAGGCTGAATCGGGTGGTTGTGACGATGCACGTGACCGACGGCGCCAAGTCTAACTTCGGCACGGCCCGATCTGGATCCGCAGTGTGGCTGCTTTCACCTCCAGTCCTTCACCTTCACCTTGCTCCCGACATCGGCAATTTCGGGCACCTCTCGTTGTCCCCATGGGTTCAGCCAGCTTGGCTTCAGATCCTTGCTGTTACTGGGGTCTAGTATGAGCGCACCCAGAGCAGTCAATGTCAATAGACTGAGCAATATGACGCCCGTCTCCATAACATTTCTCCTTCCCGCGCGATGCGTAGCGTGCTATGAGACGCTCTCGCTGCCAGACAGACCAACGACATGGTTGGAATGTTCCCAAATCGATGGGAGCTTGCCGGTGCTGGCTTCGAGGCCGACGATGAGATAGTGCTCCGACGACATCCTCGCGAGGAGGAAAGTGACCCGGAATTCGGGCGTGATGCTCTGCAAGAGCTAGTTCTGCTTTATCACTCATATCACGCCATTCAGCCGTTGATCCCGCTCACTTCGTCTTCGCACTTGAAACTCGGTTCCGCAAAAGCAAACGTCACCCTGCTATCGGGGGATTTGGTCATAAGGCTGAGCTCCAGGACGACCAGCGTCATTTGGTCGTGTTGTTTCCTGCTGACTTCATCCCGTTTGTTTCTTCCCACCCACCAACCCACGCGAGGCGTTTGACCGTAAGGGAAAAGTCGGCACTTTTGCTTTACGTAGCTTACCTGGCCGCTTTCATCGCCTTTGAGCTTGCTATTGATAGCTCCGCCTTGGAAACTTTGCTGCTGTCGGTGCAATAACAGGTCCTAACGACCTAAAACCAAGTTCTCTGGCCAGGTTTCGCAAATTTCGTCTTCGTCGTACGGACTTGTGCCATTCTGATTATTCGGCGAACCTGGGAAACCCCTTTCGATAGGGGTCATGGTGAGTGACCTGTTCCGGGTGGTGTGGTTGGTCGGGGGATACGAAAGCTAAGCAGGCAGTTGAATGCTACCTAAAGTGAGCTCCTTCGACCTTGAAACGGAATGAAAAGCTACTGAAAACAAGCGGACGAAAAGAAGAAGGAGGGGTGACGCAGGCGTCGGAAGTGGGCAGGCCGCGCTCCTCATCCACGGTGGCGAGGCTTACATAGACGACTAAGTTTCCGAGACGGACAAACGACAGTCTCGTGCCCAATAGGCCTAAGATCTCTCTATTATACCGGAACATCAAGCACTCCTCGCGTAAGCACTCGATACATTGGCAGTGGTACACGGCTTGGACAGACACGATGTCGTTGCCTGCGGTGTGACGTGAGGGCATAGACTTCGTGGCGTTACCTACTGTTCAGTCTCTGTCACGATGCAGCGTGCCCCTTGTCGGCAACAGCTTCTCAGTTAAAATCTGTTGTCTTTGTCCTCTTTGCCATCCTTGTCTTTGGCTCCTGCATTCCCACCCAAGAGATCCATATATATATATATATAGCTGGGTCAAGTCAAGGCCAGCGAAAACTTTATTGATGTCTCTTTTGCCTGCGCTGGTCTCAATAAGTAGACGAGGCTCAAAAGAATTACATCCATCAACAATATCTTTCCGCGAACGAAAATGGAGAGGAAGCAGCAGCCCGTCGCATCAAATTCGGCGACCGGCGTATCCTTTGTTACCCCAAATCCGTCACCGCCCACGCCCGCCAAACTCACTTTCTCCGCCGTGGATAAGACGCCTCGGGAAGTCTCTACATTTTCGCGGTCTTTCGAAGAATATTCTTTGGAGATATGGGACGCTGCGTACGATAGATTAAAGGAAGAAGAACCCGCGCTGCTTCAATCATAGGAAGTGCTACTTTCCGACTACTTAGCAACCGACTAGCAACGGAGTTCAACCCATGCGCGGCCCTTTATGGCTAATCTGTGTTGCAATAACATTCACCAGACAAATCGTTTGATAAGACAATCACAGATGAAGTTTTGTATCGATGCCTTGCAGTCCAAATGTAACAAGAACAATGGCAATTTTAAAGCGGAAGTCGGTGTCAATCCCTATGTTAGAAGGATTTCTTCTCTCGAAAACATCATACGGGTCTCAGCCCACCAATCCCCCCACGCCTCTCTGGCCTGGGTAGCCTCTTTGATGTCTATACGGGTATGTCCCCAGTCCGCTTCTGTCGTTTCCGTCGATAGGACATACATTGCTCACCACGGTACAGAGCCTGCTCTATCCTACTCTGCAGCCCCTTGCCGCCAAATCTGGGATTGTTTCCACTCTATCAAAGATGGAATGGTATCTCATGCTGTCCGACCTCGTCTTGCAGCATGGTGACTTGGACAGAGAAAACCCACTGAAGAGTCAAAGCGGCAGCACTCATCGGCTTGTACAAGGCCATTCTTCATTGTGAGATATATGTGGCATGCCGGCTCAAGCAGCAGATAAGAAAAGTCGCGTCAACCTCCCGATCTAGGTCAGCTCGAGGAATACCTTCAAGAGATCAGAGCTCGAGAAGGGCAGATTGACACTATCTTAAACGAACCACAGTTTAGATCCTTTTTCAGTGCTGGAATCATCCAATTATTTAAGCCAGGGTCACTAGTAGATTCGGATTCATCAGCCATGAAGCAGACGACCTACCTTGAAAAACTCCTGGCAAAGCTACACGTTGGTAAGATGATGCACGCCCAGAAGAAAATGGCAGAGCAATCGATGAGGGGTTTGCAGCCCTGGAATCTGTAAATCCGGGACGGCCTCTATCAATGGGCATGTGAAACTCAGGAATACAAGACATTTGTGGACTGGAGTACCAAAAGCAGTGGCCGCGTACTTTGGATAAACGGCGGTCCCGGTGCTGGCAAAAGTACGCTTCTCCATTCCGCTGTCCAGGGGTTGTTAGACCAAGGTGAGAATGTCGGCGCAGCAGAGTCAAACTGTCCCCAGAACGTGGCCTACGTGTTCTGCGAGGATGACGAACCGAATCAGTATGACCCTTGTCCATCGTCAAGTGTCTCATTCATCAGGTGCTACACAATCATCCCGAGAAATTAAGCCGACACCTCGGAACAGTGTTCGCCACCACGGCGCGAGAGTACTTTGCCGACTCACAGGATTTCTACGCCATGTCCCTGGTCCTCTACAACCTGATACAGGATCCTGAACTTCCCCGGACATACTTTGTAATCGACGCAATTGAACGGCTCTCCGGGGATATAGATGTCAACCTCACAGCTCCACCCAGTTACACGGACACGGGCAAACCGGGCTCTATGGAAGTCACGCCGAATGAGCAGGCACTCTGAGATAACCTGGTTCTGATTTCTACAACAATTCAGCTTTCGGACAAGGTTCGGTGGATGCTGTCTCTCGATACCGAGAGCTGTGACGCAACGTTGGCCGCTGTGGACAAAAGCATGCAGCTCCATCTAACTATCAACTCGGCTACACCGCATGTTCGCAAAATTGCCCTCGAACACGCGGCTTCCAAGGTCGCCGCGACTGCTGACTCCGTAAGCTATAGCGGCACGCTCCGTGAAGCCGTCGTGCAGAAACTTCAAGAGGTACCATCTGGCAACTTCTTATGGTTGGATATGGCCTTGGATGTTGTCAAGTCGTCCACGCACCACGCCGCACAGGAACGCCCCGGATATTCTGGACACGCTGACCAAAGACACGCCAGATGTGGAATCTATGTATCGGCGGGGCTTTGAAGCTATCGGCCACCTCGGAGACGAAGCCAAAAGTTACTGCGACGATATTCTCTCGACCGCAGCCATAGCGTGGCGGCCGCTTCGCATCAGTGAGCTTGTTGACATTATCAAGCTTGCGGCAGAAGTCAACCCGTCAATCATTGTTGACACGATGCTGCAGCCGTTCTTGAAAATACAGGAGGGCCGTCTCCGTTTCCGGCATCTCTCGGGCAGAGACTTTGTCCTTCGGAGGCTGATGGAAGAAGGGCAGTTGTTGGCGGGGCGTTCGAAAATGGCACAACGATGCCTCGAAGCTCTGCTTATGAAGCTCGACCGGACGCATCCGACTTCTTTCAAGCCTGGGAATAAGCCATCCAGGAGCCCTGTGAATTATGAGACAATCTCCTGGATTCGGCACAAGCCATCAATGTCTGGGACGTTTCCACCGGTCGATTGTTGAAGTGCTTGAAAAGAGTCGAGGAGAAGGAGGCGGGAGAAGACTATGCGCCTGATTCTTCACAACAAAGCGAGTCCTCTACCATGTTTGATGTCTGGGATATCACCATCACCCCCTCCGGAGACAAGCTTGCCGCTGCCATAAGCAACGCCGTGCATGTCTGGGACCTCTGCAGGTTTCAAAAGATGGCAGTGTGGTCAGACACGAATCACGTGGGCAACGATATAAGGCGTGTCAGGTTCTCTGCCGATGGTGAATTTTTAGCTTCCTGTGCAGCTTCAGAGATAACCATCTGGAGTGTGCAGACTGGCTGTCCGCTTCGCAAACCATCGCACCGCGCGCATATGGCGGACGGAGACAGGACACTACAACTACCTCTATTTGCGTACGAGAGACCAAAAGATGCGCTTGCCTTTTCAACCGACTCGAGATTTCTCGCATCATGCGGGAATGGCCCGACAGTGCGTATTTGGAACCCCAAGTCTGGCGAGATGCTAGCAGAGTTGGCGTGCGGTAAAGCACATGCAGTCATCAACAGCGTCTCGTTTTCGCCCAATAGCTCTCGAGTGGCTACGGGATGCTATGACGGAACTATAAATGTCTGGAAATCGGCGTCGCCTGGGAACTGGGAAAGCGGGGAGAGACAGACTCAGCCGAAACGAGTTCTGGACGATCCCGGGCGCGTCCCTGTGTCGGTCTCTTTTGCTCCTCATGATAACCGACTGGCATATAGGGACTACGATGCAGTAAAGGGCGGATTATATGGATGTCTACGAATCTGGGATGTGGCCGCGGACAATGAAACGACGAGCGCGGCCCTGCTAACCAAGTCCGTGGCCGCCGGGACTGAGAATCAGCACCCTATGACGCTTATGGCCATATCCATGGACGGAAAAAAAGATTGCGTCTGCTTCACGTGCCGGCATATGCCTTTGGGACGGAGAGACGGGCGTCCGGCAGTGTACCTTGTCGTCAAAGCATTGTCGCCGCGTGGACGCTATGATGTTCTCGCCCGACAGCAGGCATTTGATTTCCGCCTCTACAGACTCTACGACCATTGTCTGGGAAGTCAAATAGGCCGAGCAAACGATAGAAGCGAAGCATCATCTTCTTTCTGAGCAGGGGGATAAGGACTGGATCAGGGCCATTGCCGTTTCTCCTAATGGGGAGTGGATAGCGACAGCGTCGCACGGTGACACGGTGTGCCTCTGGAATATTTCCGCTTCGGCACAATCCAGCAACAGGAAGAGTGGTGCGTTAGACAAAGACAGGATCGTGGCTGGAGAGTTGTGCGGTCACAGAGGCTCCTATTTGAGCGTAGCTTTCTCTCCCGACGGCAAACGTTTGGCCTCGACGGGAACCGATTTGCGTGTCCTGATATGGAATGTCGACGGTAACAACGAAGGGGAGAACAGGCCAGTCGTGCACATGTCGAATCCCCACATTCCCACTCTCCCCAAAGGGGTGGTGTTCTCAGCCGATGGCAGCAGAGTGATATCGGTCTTGTCCGGCGGCACCGTAGCTGTTTGGAGCCCGGAGCATCAGCAATGCCGCCTGGTAGTGGATGCCACTCATCTTTACCATTGGCCATTTAGGTCGATGCGCATCGACCCAGACCATCCAGACGTGCTGTTGACCGAATACGGCGCCTGGCCTGTCGATATTAGCCAAGCGGCCCTGGACAGAGCCGTGGAAGCACAGTTGGCGTCCTGGCCGCCATCCGAGCCTGAATCCCCCATGGTGTTGCGAATGCCGCCAATGCCAATGCGCCCGCCCGCCAGGGCCGCCTTTGGCCTGACAGGCAATTGGCTGGGTCGACATTGGCTTTTAGGCAGCAGGGAACCAGACATGTTTGAACTAGGTTGGGAGGGAGAGACAGGAGAATGCATACCACCCGACCATTGCTCGCCTACCTGACCTAACCTAACTATTATAATTAACCTAATTTAACTATTATTATGAGGCTCTTATTACTTTTTAATTAATTAAAAATTTTCAGCTATAAGAACTTAATTTCCTCTTATAATATAATTAATTAGTAAAAG